TATATATATATATATATGAGTTAGATTTACAATAAACAGTACATTTAAAAAGGTTTGGCATTTCCACCGTTTTTCCACTATTAATGGTGTATTTTATGATTTTGCTGATGGTTTGTAAAAGTTAGATGTTAAATGTTTACAGTGATTTTGCCACAGTTCAACTTTGTTTTGTGCCTAGAAACTCTATTTAGCTGTAGTAAAATGATGTGTGTCCTTCGGTGGATTATTGATTTATTCTTTTGTATACACATTTTCACTGCTGGTTTGTGAACAAAAGTATTTCTTAAAGGGATACTTGAGCCAAACATGAAAACTCTGTCATCGTTTACTCACCCTCGTGTCTTTCCAAACCCATTTTTTTTTTCATCTGAGAATTTGTGACATCATCTCCATTTGTGTTGATTGGAGCGACATGAAAGTGAGTAAACGATGACAGAGTTTTAGTTTTTGGCTGAAGCATTCATTTAAATCATGATGTGCTCTTTCCTGCATGCCACTTTTTACCTCTCAAGCACCAATCACTTCTCTTTTTTTTTTTTTCTTCTTCTTTTCCCTGACTTTCTTTTGCCCTTTCAGTGTTTGTGCTATTTCTCCATTTTCTTCTCTTGTTTGTGCTTGTTGTAACCCCTCACCTTCTCCTCCTGCTCCTGGTGTCATTGTTCTCAGTGGTTTGCATTGCTTACGGAATCACAGTTGTTCTTCGTCTCTCAGTGCTTCATTTAATGCTCCTCACCCCTGGACTACTTCTACTACTACTTTTCGGTTTAGTATTCCTGCACGTCTGGTCCGCGTTTGCAACGCCTCATTTATTCGGTGATGCTCTTTCACCCTCACCTTGAGGTTTCATCGTCCACCCTCCATCCTACAGCCATCTTTACATATTTCATCTCCATCTGTTCTTTGAATGCGTCCAAATCCATTAGACTTTCAGCTCAGCTCACCACACAACTGTTGCGTTTTCAATTCACAACTTGTGACCACCCTGTTGAAAATATCAGCTCAGACCAGTGAGAATCTTCTTGATGGTCCAAGCTGGTTAGTCCCGATCTGCCAATTCATAATATTTGATGGTGCTGGTCTTTTCAGCAGGACTCTCTATACACTGTTTCTAATCTTGCCCTGCTTTTCAAAGCTTCACCTTTCATTACCATCCTCCATCTTCCCATCACTGACATCCGTCCATGTCCCTGTCTCAGAACCCCTCTCCTCTAACGGGACGGCGCTGGGACCCAGGTTAGGTTTGCAGAAGTCCAGTTCTCTGGAGAGTCTCCAGACAGCGATGGAGGAGGTCGGTAAGGACAAGGTGCCCTTCCATCGTCCAAGCGCGCACATGGTGAGAGGCCGAGGATGCAACCTCAGCTTCAGATACGCCATCGACAAGTCTTACGACGGGCCTTCTGAACCTGAGGACGGTGAGTTAAAACCATTGAAGTGTTATATAACTTTAAAAAAAAGGTAAAATATGTAAATACAACATTAAATAGTTAAACATTTATTAGAAATTATTATATTTTTTTTTGTAAATAGTTATGTGCTTTTCTCATTTTAGTAGGTTTTGTTTTTATATGTTTGTACTTTATTTTAAACTTTATTTCAGTTAGTTGCCTTTATTTTTGGTGAGAATATTTATTTATTTATTTTTTATTTTTTTATTTGACAAGAACAACACTGAGCAGAATAATAAATAATAAAAAAATTTGATTTTAATGTTAATATGACTTGTTCATATTAACATTAAAATGTATTTATATGTATTTAAATGTTCAAATTCTACCATGTCAGATTTATTCCAATGAGTCCAAAAATAAATATATATTTTTAAATAATGTATTAATTTATTAATATTTATTAATATTTTATTCTTATTTATTTAAATAAAATATACATGCATTAATTTATTAATAATACAGTTTTAATACATTTATAAATTTACTCCGTTAAGCTATTTATGATTTTAATAAGAGTTTATTTGTTTTTAATTTGTTTCTGATCATGACAACCAACAAGAAATATGTGAAATTTATTTTTTATTAGTGCACCAATGTATCCGTTTTTTAAGTCTAATGCTACATAAAACAACTCTTTTTATTTTCTATAATATATATTGTCATATATATAATGTATATTGTCAGTGTTATTCTATAAATGTGTTGTAATTTAAACAGAAGGCCTTGTGGATTTCTGCAGATATTGCTCACCACAGCCAAAGTACATTAATGAGAAGTGTGTTTGTGCTGCATAGCAGTAAATGCATGTTGCTGAGCACAGTAGCGAGATTGTCATGAGTTGTGCCAAACATGTGCTAACAGTTACAACTGCATACCACTGCTTCTCGCTTCGCCAAAAGTGCATCTGGGCCTTTCACATTCATTACTCTCATCAAACATAAGCCTATAAGTCTTAACATGCATTTTTCCTCATTATATATTCTGGTGCATTATGAAAGTTAAAGTCAACATGAAATCAACTGAAATTCACTCTCATTTGCTTATTATAGTGAACAATTTATTATTGTACGGTATTCCTATATATATATACACACACACATATACATATACCTGTTTAGTTTAAGAAATGTCACATTATGGAAGTAAAATAGGTTGCAAATGCTGTTTCATGTTGACTTTAAATCTCTTTTAAAGTTCAGAGCGATATCTCAGAACGGTTGGGTGCCAGTGAAGCTCCTTCACTTTTAGTAGCTCATTTGAGAGATGAATTTGACTCTCTGTGACTCATTGAGCTTCGTGAGCCAGTGAGGAGTGAATCAGCAAATACATGTATCACTGATTTTTGTGTGAACCTCCAGCAGCAAGTCAGCACATTCAAGGGCACGTATCACCCCTGCTCTTTCTCATTGACACTAAAGACCTCTTCTAAATGAGAAATAGAGACAGACCTTCAGCACTAGCCAGAGATGCCTTCGATTAGAGCCTATAAGGTGTCATGAATTAAAGTCAAGCTTTCTGCACCCTTAGCCGATGAATGGAGGTCTGTGGATATCAACTTGATGCTACAGGAGGGTGAATAACACCAAAACATGTTCAGGCCACATGTCACACCTAAAGTAAAGATATAAAATTAAAAAAAAAAAAAAAAAATTTTTTTGCAAAAAGAAAATATTTGCTGGTGCGTTAAAGGAACACGCCACTGTTTTTGAAAATAGGCTAATTTTCTAACTCCCCTAGAGTTAAACAGTTGAGTTTTACCGTTTTCAAATCTATTCAGCCAATCTCCGGGTCTGGCGGTAGCACTTTTAGCTGTAGCTTAGCATAGATCATTGAATCTGATTAGACCGTTAGCATCTCACTCAAAAATTACCGAAGAGTTTCTGTATTTTTCCTATTTAAAACTTGACTCTTCTGTAGTTACATCGTGTACAAAGACCGACGGAAAATGAAAAGTTGTGATTTTCTAGGCTGATATGGCTAGGAACTATACTCTCATTCTGGCGTAATAATCAAGGAACTTTGCTGCCGTACCATGTGTGCAGCAGGCGCAATGATATTACGCAGCGCCTGAAAATAGTCCCCAGCTAGGTAACTTCCAACGTGACCGGCACTAAGTTTGTGTAGTTGCATATATATATTTCATATATTTCCATATCGGCCTAGAAAATCTCAACTTTTCATTTTCCGTCGGTCTTAGTACACGATGTAACTACAGAAGAGTCAAGTTTTAAATAGGAAAAATATCGAAACTCTTTGGTCATTTTTGAGCGAGATGCTAACGGTCTAATCAGATTCAATGATCTATGCTAAGCTACAGCTAAAAGTGCTACCACCAGACCCAGAGATCGGCTGAATGGATTTGAAAACGGTAAAACTCAACTGTTTAACTCTAGGGGAGTTGGAAAATGAGCCTATTTTCAAAAATAGTGGAGTGTTCCTTTAAGGATGCAAATAAAATGTATAAATACTGCCACAATGTGTAAATACTTAACATAAAAACGACAGATCGTTAATAAGATAATTATAATCTTTAAATAAGAATTATATAATTACATTTTTTTTCCCCACATTGCAGTAATGTTTTTTTGCATTATGATGGTCGTAAATTGGGTATTACTTTATATTATGCAAAATGCCCCTCCCCCTCCCCCTAAAAAAAACACAATCTTAATGGTTGTAAATGTAATTTATTTTATTATAGTTTTTTTTTCTATTATTATTTTGTGGTGAAATATGACATTGTGTTCCTTTTAACACTCATTACTTTTAGTACGGACTTTGAAAATAATGCATTTCTTATTTAAATTTTTTATCTCATTAATTTATCTATGTAGGACTCATTTTTCTTAATTGTGAATTTTTAAATATTTGCTTTTATGTCATTATTTTGTTTTCTTTTCAAAATGTTAGATTTTTTTTTAATGCATATGACTTCTGCCTATTTGGATTTACGGTCAATATACCGTAAAGAAAGAATTTCTTCATAATTTACTGACAAACGGGAGTCTGCTTTGTGGATTTTTGTTTGATTCCTTATAATTAGATCTCATTAGGTGTTTGCTCACGTCTGGGTCTTTGTTCTTCACCAACAGATGACTCTGAGGAAGACTCCGGCAGAGACACGCCCGCCAGCAGCTCTTCTCGACAGGATCTGGATGATGAGAAGAAGGTAAAGAAAAAGAAAACCAAAAAGAAGAAAGAGAAAAAGAGCAAAAAGAAGGACGAGCCTGAAGACCCTGAGAAAAAGACAAAGAAAAAAGGATTTGGGTTGTTGAGGTACGAGTCTGAAAGCCAGAAATTCACACACATCACAGTTTCAATCAAGCATAAAAAAAAATCTTCACGAGAAATGCAGTGATTTGTGCCAAATGATTTCCCATAAAATGTTCGAAAGCTGTTTTGCAGCTCTTAAAGAAGCCATGTCATGGAAAAAGGACTATCCAGGGTCTTTTGAAATGATGTTTAATCTCAGTAGTCCAAAAGAATTTAGAAAATAGTCATGTAGAACTAAATTTGTGCTGATCCATTGATATACAGTATAGTCAGAGTTTTCAAGTGGGTGATTGATGGTTCTGCATAAGGGCCTCCTGACGCAGCTGCACATGGAGGCCTTCCTATAATTACAGCACCATGGTAATTGAGGACAAGAAAAGTGAACTAACTATATGCTGTCTTTGTGTGATTTTATAAATATAGGCAGAGACAGATAAGATGACAGACATACAGTGATATCCACGTCTTTAATTGAGATTGACAGGCTTGTGTTTGATGGTTTTATATTTGGGCTTCATGCATAATCTCTTTTCCTCTTGGCGGACACGAGAACTCTTTTCATATGAGATGAAAGATGATTGAATGACAGCGTATGTGTCTCTGAACTATAAAATAGAGCTCCTGTGCCTCCTCTGTGAGGACTGACCCCTGTTTTTCCAGCGTTGACTATCAATTGATCAGCAGGTCCCAGCGTTTGCATGGAAACCTTCATTTTAATCAGTTTTTTGTGATTTTATCTTCGCATTTTGTCACTGCTAGCTTATAAAGTCGACGAGAAATTGTATCCACAAACCATTTGACTTCCATAATGACATGTTCCTGAGTGAAATAGGATGTTCAACGAGAAAAAGTGCAAGTTGTGACTTGATCTTATCCATTGGTAATCATTTGAATCGTGCAAAATGGGCAAAAAGCACGAGAATGGATGAAAGTCAAGGATATTATCTTGTTTTTAGATCAAATATTTGCTTTGTTTTTCATACTAATTTCACCATTACTGTCTACACCACATAGCTACATCGTAAAATCGTCCTTCCGTGACTGTAACGCTTTTCAAGCGGCGGTCAAAGTGGCGAGACAGTTGTGTTGAGAGACACGTTGAAATCGCGAGTCATGTGAAAGGGTTTTACTGTTCCCCTCTCTTTAACGCTGATGAAATTCCCAGAAATTCAAACTCGTGGGCCGTCAGCCGAACAGCTTGGACGTATTCATTGAGGGTTTTTGCCAGGCAACTCGTATCATATCTCTGCTTTCCAATCTGCTTCCTTATTGAATTTGAAAAATGACTTAATTAGCTGTTGTGTTATGGTGCAATTTAATCTAATTGTAAAGTCTTCACGGGTGCTTTTCATCATCTTAAAAAAAGAAAAAGGCAAATCATAAACATGTGAGAGCGTGATTCATGGTTCGGTTTTCGACTTTGCAGCAGAACAAACTGGTGATTTTCATTTCTTCCCATTTAGGGGTGAAAATATTGTGTTTATCGTGCGACAGAGTGTGGTTTTGAAGACAGATGTGCTGTTTGTATGGATTTGTGGGCTGCTTTCAACATGAAAACAATAGAGCGTCTGATTTTTGGAGCTTCGTGTTTTGGCTGCCTGCCGTGATATCTTTCGATTCACTTGTCTTTCAGTGTTTTCACAATTAGAGGCATTTTACTGCATAAGCAAAGCGTCAGTGAAACAATGATTAAAGCTTTCTGTATTATTTGAGTTTCTGTTAGGGATAAGTGTATAATAATGGAGGTTTTGGCTGGCTGTATGTATTTTGCATTCAGTCTCAATATATCTAACATATAACAATCTAAACAATCAGATACAATTTTCACCCAGCAGATGTAAAATGTAACTTACACTGACAATATTAACATCTCACATGAATTTTCAGAAGGTTATTTTCATTAAAATTGTATTTTTATTAATGCATTATTTTAATTATAGTAAATAGGATTATACATTTTATTTATTTTAAATATAAACAAATATATAATGTATAAAATATATCAAATGTGTGTATATAAAAACACATAAATAAAAATATAAAATGATATATAACAGCCCTACATTACATCTGTTATATTGCATAGTTATACACTACATTTTATATTTTTTTATTATATATATTAGTGAGATATTTTTTAACTACATATTTTAGCTGAAAGTCCCATAAAAACATGCGCTACAGAATTCATCCTTTTAAACATGTAAATTCAACCTCGCACAATCATCAAATAAATAAAACCCTCACATGTGGTTTTTTTGACACTGAACCCACATTTTGAGACCGTTCTCTAGAGTGTCATACTCTCCCTCACTCCACTCTGATCTAAAACACACACGTCTGCTGCTTTCCGATCCGTTCACCTCAATTCCGTATAGCGTTCCGAATCTGAACCAACAAATCCGGCATCAAGCCAATTAGCACGCCTGTACTTCCACTACCCAGAATGCATCATACAAGAGTCGTGTTGCACATCGAGATTACACACCAACCCTCATCTTGCATTCCTAAGCCAACAGCAGTTAGACACATACTAGTGTCGCTATAAACACGCTCATAGTGTTTGTTTATGAGTGAGCAGATGGCTTTGACAGTAATCTGAAATGGAGATGATTCTTTAATTTACTTAAATTTTGCATTTGGCTCTGTTTAATCCCTGGATGATTTTAAAGACAGTCAGCGCTCTCCTGCTGCGCTCTTGACATGTTGTGAATGTTGTTCCTCCTACAGTTTTGCGTTATTAAAGTTGTAGCTTTTTTGCAAAAGTTATACATTACATTTAGTTTGCTTTCGATTCTTTCAAAGATCATTTGGGTTCTGTACAGTAATGGCAGCCATGTCGAGTAGGCATTTACAACTCCATAGAGAAACATTCAACCGTGGCTTCAATTACAGTGACTTAGAGTTACACGGCCTATAAAACAGCTAATACTTACCGCCTTGTGAAAACAAGCATTAGCGACTGACAGGGTAACACAGAAATGTCTTCACATTTCTAAAGTGCTGCAATGTTTTAGCAAATACATTAGATTTGACATTTTCTGAAGGAAGTTTTAGTGGTATTTGCCTTAAAACGCACCGTCATGGGGTAAGATTTGGCCTGAAAACGTTTCTAGTCTTTGCTAAGGCAGTAACTAAGGTGTCTTCTGAGATTTGATCTTATTTTTTTGTCGGCCATGTGAAAATTTTAAGTCTGAGAATTTTCGTTGACACAAGTAGTAATTGAAACTGTTTTGATTACTCTGACAGAAATATAAAAATAGGTTAATTTGATTTTAAATTATGCAATTTCAGCGCTACTAGTAGTGATAAGAAGTCTGATTCTTTTCTGTAAACGGGTTCTTTCGGACAGTTGGTTTCAGTGAACTGGTTCTTTGCCAGTTTGTTTACATAATCATACAGTGACTTCATGTATACACAATTCTAATATTAAAGGGTTAGTTCACCCAAAAATGAACATTTTGTCATTAATTGCTCACCCTCATGTCGTTCCAAACCCGTAAGACCTTCGTTCATATTTGGAACACAAATTAAGATATTTTTGATGAAATCCGAGAGCTTTCTGACCCTCCATAGACAGCAACGCAACTATCCCAATCAAGGCCCAGGAAGCTAGAATGGACACGGTTAGTTAGAAAGCTAGAATGTGCAGCTTTATTCCTTGACGCTGGCCCCACCGCTCTCTAAACTCAAAAAAGGTGGGTAGACCAGCGGTACACTGAAAAAAATGTTTCATTCATCCAATTAAAAAAATTTAGGGTAATGATTAACATCTATATTTTTTAACTTGAGCCAATGAAAAATAAATAACTTGCCCTTAGACGTTCAGCATGTTTTCTACAAACAATGTCTGACGTGTTTGTTTTATGTGGCTTGAGAATGTGAAAAAGCGACACAAAATCCAACCTGAGCGGCCAGATTGAAACTAATTTCCAGAAATAAGATTTGAATACAGTACAGTATGAATGTAGCTTGAAACGGTTTTGTAAAAAAATCGTATTTCATGTAATATTTTGCCGTTTAGACTTGCTAACTATGATCAGATTCCAATCAGATATGCACAAACATCGGATTTGGACCGACAGTTTGAACAAGGCTATGAAGTGAATAAACGTGTGGCAAAAACGTAAGTGTTGTTACCTGTTCAAGTTCAGCATTTTCATTGAAACCTAAACATTCCATCAAATTCCTCCATCTTGCAAAAGCATGGCCACTGTTTACTTATGTTTTACCCTGTTGTTGGTCTCTGCATATTTTGGCAAGACTTCTAATTTTGTCTTCTAATTCTTTTCTAATTTTCTTTTCCCATGTAACAGCAATGGTCTCAACATCTAAACACCCTCTGGCTCAGCCTGCTACAGTAGCCACGCCCCAAACCCCCGCTATTTGTTGAGCTGGAATGATTGACAGGTCTGAGGACCACTCTAAATGTTTTGATTGTGCCTCAAAGGCTCAAATTTTACACTTTTATTAGTGTACTTACCGTAGTCAATGAACAATATACTGGGTTCACAGAATGTATTTTGACATATAAAAAACGTACAAACTTCACCTTTAAGAGCCGATTTACAGTCAAAAGATGTATGTTGTAAGTAGTTAATAGTAGCTGCTGTGTTTAACTGTCTTCACACACACAATGTGCTTTCACACAGAGTGCATGGTTATGACATTTGGAGCACATATAATCACATAATGACGTTTATAATGGATTCCACATCTGTTTATTGACATCTTGAATTCTAGCTTATATTTAGCATGGCACACATGCTTCAGCGGGGTGCGGGATGGACACATCATGTTTTATTTCCTGTCTGAATGGGAACATATGAAGCTGTTAACACAATCGCTCAGTGCAGCCCGCGAGAGGCTAATTACTGAAATCTGTTTCTAAAATTGAACCCCATTCTGCAGTGATTTCCTCATTTATTCATGCCGATGCGTTCTGTCAGTCAGGCGTTTTGGACTAAAACACATATTCATATTAGCAGAGAAGCCGCAGAGAC